TGTTAGTTATGGAAAACATTTTGCCTTCCGTGGAAATGGAGGTATCAGAGTCCATCAAACAGTCCAAGTCATTCACAGATAAGACAGTCAGTCATCAATGTCATTCAGTTAAGGGATAATCCAAATAACAGTCCATAATCATACAGTCCGGTACTCAAAAGTTTGCTAGCAGTTGCAAAACTTACAATAGCTCACAGCACTTTCTTACAGCCAGCTTCCAAAACACTCAGATCAGATCAGCCCAGCATCTAACAGAGAGAGCTAACAGTCATTCTGGCTCCCTCTTATGGCCGATTGAGGAAACAGCAACCAATCACATTTTATAGTATGATTTCAAGAAACAGGTATAGCATTGTTACATGATTTATATATTGCCAACCCAACCGTTAGATTATATTCCTAACAGGAAGGACAGATACATTCTTGATACCAATTGTGATACTCACCCAATTGCATCAACGCGTACATGAGGCCAATCACGGACACCAGGAAATAGATGACAAAAACATTTTTGAGTTTCACCTTCATGGCACAGCCTAAGGAGAGAAAGAGAGGCAAAATGTTTAAACCAGGTCTGGATAGAGACAAGAAGAGTGTTGTATTTCAAATAAATGTAGTTTTGTGTCACCAACAATATGTGGAGGATTTAATGCCGTATCTTTGTTGCAGCAGCATCAAAACCATACACCAACGGCAATTTTTTTTTACTTCTCCAGAAACAAATTAATGGAAGAAAAGTCAAGATGAAGGGCTCCAGAAACCAAATGAATTGTAATGTTGATAAATATTAATAAACAGAGTGAAGATTTCTGGAGAAGTAAGAAGTTGGCAGAACATAATTTCATTTTAATTTATGCTTATTAGTGTCCATTCAAATTGACAATAAAGTATTCTATTCTATTCTCACCTATCCTATCCTATCCTATTTGTATTCTATTCCATTTTATTCTCCATTCTATTCTATTCTATTCTTCTATTCTAAATTCTATTCTATTCCTATTCTATTCCATTTTATTCTCTATTCTATTCTATTCTATTGTCTCCTAGGATGGTTTCCTAATACAGATTGGGTTATTGGCATTTCAATTTAAAATGCCAAAAACAAAGTTAAACGGCTATAATAACATTTTTTCTCCCTTTTGATATTTATTTTATTTTTACTTTTCATTTATTTATACAATTTATTGCCCTCCCATTTCACCACAGGGTAACTCCGAGCGGCTTACAATATTAAAATTGTCATTATAACTGAAAGTATTTTAACCCTAATTTAATGTTTAATTTTAAAGTTAATTTTAGACATTTTTCAATTACTCGGTTATGTTTACTGTACACCATCCAGAGCCCCTCCTTGAGGGAGACGGTTAAGAAATATGAAATATAAATAAAAAATAAATTTCCAACTAAGAAAGTTGGAAATTTTCTACCCTTCTGCTTCCTTCAATCCCATCTTCCAATGCCACAGGGGGTTCCACTAAGGCCTACTGTGCTACTATAACTCCCATCATCCCCAATCCCACTTTCCTTCATCCAGAACCTCACATCACTCCCAACCTTCTCCTAGTATATTTTGATGTACCTCCTGCCCCACTCTGCACCTTCTAGGTAGAGACTACAACGCCCATCATCCCCCACACCCACCTCTTGCTTTCCAGATTCAGGTGTGCTGTACTACAACACCCATCATCCGCTCTACAGCCTCCTGGACAGGTGCAAAGCGGCTTGTCCCCAACCTGTCTACCTCTCAATACACTGACATAGAACCCATCATCCTCTACCGCCTGACTGGTGGGGGGTGGGTGGGGATGATAGGTAAGAATATCAAGGAGGGCGCCAGGTTGGGGAAGGCAGCCCGGTTGGCCTCCCTCCATCTGCGCAGGCGCAGTTGCTTCGCACCCCCGAGATTCCGCAGCCCGACGACGGCCGCGGTGAAGACGGCGGGGAGACGGTGTAACACCGTTACCATGGCAACGGAGGCAAGGCCTAAGCTCACCGGTTGCTTTTGTCGCCGACCAGGGCGAAGGGAGAAGTACCGGGCTTGCTCCTCAGCTCGTCAAAGCCCTTCCATCTTAACTGGGGTCCGCGCTTTTTTCCCCTCGCCCTCCTGCGCGGTCAGGGAACCACTTCCGGTCCGTCTGATTTCGGACTCCCACGGAGTCCGTTGCCATCCAGGGTCCCCCGAGCAACTCCTTCCGGTGTTCTCGGGTTCCCCCTGAACGCGCCCCGCCCGCCAATTCAAATATAAATCTCATCTCATTATAATAGCCGTCCATATATTTTGCAGCCCTGCAGGTTTTTATTCCAATATTATGTAAAGATCTTGAAGCACATTTTACACATCGACCCAATTAGGCTCTACTTAAAGTGTATTATAAGAGAGGGATTCCTTGCGGTACCCTAAACTCATTAAAACGGTTAAAGGGAAGCCATAGAGCAGGAGTCGTCAACCTTGGCGACTTGAGGACTTCAACTCCCAGAATTCCTCAGCCAGCATGGGATTGCGTTCATGCAGCCAGCACTCTGGGAGTTGAAGTCCACAAGTTGTCAACGTTGGAGAGCCCCTGCCATAGATGGCAAAAGAGCTGAAGGTAACTCAACGTAGGAATTGTCTCTAGATGTTGGGACCAAAAGAACTAGAGATGTTGATGCAGACATTGCCACCCTGGAGACACAAAGTGTCTCAAGCGTTAGGAATAAGAGTTGGAAGGGACCTTGGAGGTCATCTAGTCCAACCCACCGCCCAAGCAGGAGACGCTACACCATTTCTGCAGATGGAAGTCCAGTCTCCGAAGTCTCCAGGGATGAAGCTCCCACAACTTCTGAAGGCAACTTCTGTTCCACGGGTTGATTGTTCTCCCCGTCAGGAAATTCCTCCTCATTTTTAGGTTGAATCTCTCCTTGATCAGTTTCCATTCATTCTTCCTTGTCTGGTCTTCAAAGGTGCTTTGGAGAATAGCTTGACCCCCTNGAATTCTAGTTCTGCCTTAGATATGAAAGCCAGCTGGGTGATTCTCGGCCAATCACCAGGCGACAGTGTGTTCTAGTTATGCCTCAAGCAGGAAAACAGCTAGGTGACTTTGAGCTAATCACCAGGAGATGGTGAGTTCTAGTCCCGTCTTAGGCATGAAAACGGCTGGGTGACTTTGAGCCAATCACCAGGAGATGGTGAGTTCTAGTCCCATCTTAATCATGAAAATGGCTGAGTGCTTTTGGGCCAATTATCAGGAGCAAGTGAGTTCTAGTCCTGACTTAGGTATGAAAGGCAACTGGGTGACTTTGAGTCAATCGCCAGGAGATGGTGAGTTCTAGTCCCACCTTAGGCCGGAAAACTGTTGGGTGACTTTGGGCCAATCACTAGGAGGCAGCGAATTCTAGCCCCACCTTAGGCACGAAAGCCAACTGGATGGCTTTGGCCACTCCCTCAGCCCAGTCCACCTCACAGGGTCGTTGTTGTTGTGGGGAAAACAGGAGGAGAAAGGAGGAGCCTTAGGAATGTTCACTGATTTGAGTTACTTAAAAAATAATGAATGGATAACCATCTAATAAGTGAATAGCTCAATCCAAAGTCAACAATCATACTTACTTCCCCTTTGCCAGGTAAATACACCTGTACACCGCGAGCTCCTTGTGCAGTTACCGGATGAACCAACAGTGCATCGCCTGTAAGAAAGGTAGTCAATGAGATCTAGAAACTTGAACAAATTGCTTACCACATTTCAAAAACTGGTCATATTCTAGCATCGTCATCCCTTCTCGAAGAAGGAACCAAATTACTTCCTGTCATTATTTCCAATCAGTCCTCGACTTAGGACCGTGATTGAGGACAGAATTACGGTTCTCGAGTTGTGGCGGTCATTAAGTAGGTCAGCATGGGACCCTGCTTGATGTTACGAACTTTTTTTTCGTGACAGACATGAAAACAAACATCATAGCTGTTCAATAAATCCATGGTGGCCAACAGGTGGTGGTGGTTGGGTTTTTTTTTTTGCTGGAAATCGTAAACGTTAGTTTCCGGTTACAAAAACAACGAGAATCGTGGTCATGTGACTGTGGGAAGCTCCAAATGGGGTCAGGAAGTAGAATTTCATCTTTGCCCTTCCTGGTTCTCTCTCTCTCTCNAAGTTAGGAGAGGAGCCCTTACAGAGCTCTGCATTGGGGCCTTTGAGGAAACCACAACCCGCCCTTCGGCTCTTTACGAGGCAGCCGGGCCTCATTTGACAACACCACCACCCCAAAAAAAACCAGACTTACGCTGCTCATGGTGACCGGCAAATAAAACGTCTGTGGGGCGTGGAGTTTCTGGTGAGTGTGGACATCGTACCAAACCTGCCAAGGGAAAAATCGTTTGAGAGGATTTGGTGAGCAAAGGGATCGACGGAAGGGGGAAAAAAAAATCAAAAACAAAACTTGGACAGGACTTTTTGTCTTCTTTGAAACCGGGCCAAACCACAGGCGTTTGTAAAACTGTGCTTCCTTTGAAGAGGCCAAAAAGGACAATTCTGGAGACGTGACAAAACTCTTCTCTTCCGACAGCTTGTTTTCATAAGATAAACTTGTGGTTTTTAACGTTTTGCGCTTAGGGGCTAAAAAAAAACACGGTTTATTCCGAGATGATGCAATTGCTCTAAACTTCCTTTTGGAGGAAAGTTCTTCTCAAAAAAGGTAAAAAATGTACCTTTTACCTGAATCTGGAAATCGATGGATGATTGGTGGGATTATACAGAATTGAAAAGAGTGATATATAAACATAAACAGTTGGTAAATTCTTTTATACTGTAAAAATATTCAGAATGGGATAAGTGATTATATAAAGGTACATTGTTATTAAACAGACAATCAAGAATGTAAGGGAATTTAGGCTTATTGAAAAGAAAGAAATATTATATAAATCTAATAAACCTAAACCTATTAATCGTAATTGAATATACGTTGTACAATGAAAGGGAGGCATCTAGTTATATCAGACGGAAAATCTGTGATTGTATATGCAATTGAGAATATGGATGCAAAAATACTTGTAACCAAACGACATGCTATATGTGATGGATGAGAATTTTTTTAATGTTTAAAAATAAAAATAAACGCAAAAAAAAAGGTAAAAAATAAAGGTTCCCCTTGCACATGCATGCTAGTCGTTCCCAACTCTAGGGGGCGGTGCTCATCTCCATTTCAAAGCCAAAGAGCCAGCGCTGTCCNGTTGCTCTTCTCTGCACTCTTTCTAGAGTCAAAGGATGACATTGCTAACAGCAAAGGTTGTCCCACCCCAGTAGAAAATGTGATAAGGTCATTTACTACTCCTGCAAAAAAGTCATGGAGACCGGTGATTTGTTATAATTGTGGACGCCAAGAGTCACTACAGACCTAATGGGAAGTTTTAAATTTTACAAAGTGCCTTAGCTTCCTTGAAATCTCTTAAAGAAGGAATGAAAACGATTTTTTTAAAAATCTTTAAAAAGGATTGCTCGCTTAGTATGGTTTCCTAGGAAAGTAATCTCATACCTCAATATACAATAGTAATACAATACAATACTATTGTATTACAATAGTAATAGCAATAAATTCTCAAAGGAAAACCATTGTAAAGGTTGTTTTTTAAGATAGGTCACTGAGCTAAAGGTACATAGAGATTCTCCGTCCTCCAGATCCTGGTTTTCCCCAAGGTGTTTTTTTCAGGAGGCAACTGGACTTTCTTGTTTTTTTCATTTGAAGGCATTTTGCTTCTCATCTAAGAAGCTTCTTCAGCTCTAACAGGATAGTGGAGAATAGGATTTATACTCGTGGCAGACAGCTGGTGGTTTGCGTCCTTTTAGAGGGTCGTTGAGGCCACTTGGAGATTTATCTTCTCAGGATCACCTAAGTGGAATGGTTTTCCAGAGGAAGAATTGCAGATTACAGGAATGATTTGCACCACTCAGGTGGTCCTGAAGACACAGAGAAACCTCCAAGTGGCCTCAACGACCCTCTGAAAGGAAGCAAATGACCAGCTGTCTGTAAGGAGTAGAAATCCTTCCATTCCCCACCATCCAAATCAGAGCGGGAGAAGCTTCTGGGATGAGAAGCGAAAAGTCCTGGAAGAAAAAAACAAACACCTTCCTTTCTGAATCAAATCTGCTAATTTCTGACCAAGAGCCTTCAAGTAGGTATTTTGTTAGAAAAAGAAGCGTTTCACCTTTAGCGCAAAAACTACCCCTCAAAGTTAATTCAAACCACAACGGCGAGACTTTACGGCATTTTTATTTTTAATTCTCCATCTTTTTATCAAAACACTCAAGTCAGTAAAAGCTTTTTACCTGCGGATGTCGTGGCAGTCAGGAAGGGATAGAAAAGATTTCGGTGTGCGTCTGTTTGTGTGTGTGTTTGGGTATGTGTTTGTGTGTGTTAAGGAATTGATTTTTATTTTTATTAACTAAAAGCCCAGCTCTGTGTCTTTTTTTTGTTTTTTTCCGCCTGGCGAACACGTATTCAGGAAGAAACCAGCCAGAATCGGGAATGTTAATCCACAGACACTTACGGATAATAATAATAATTAAAAAAAAACAAAACCACATAACAAAAGCTTCTGGCTTGTAGGCAGGAGAGAAGTTCCAGGGAAGGAATGGGAGGAAGGAGGCAGAGCGGCTAAAAGTATAAAAGAAATAAATCCAGCCCTTCCCGCAGGCAGATGCACCCCTAATTCTCTCTTTCCTGCAAGGAAGGGGGGGTGCTTTTCTAGCAGCTCATGCCCCCCCCCCATGCGATCCCCCCTGCCCCGTTTTTTTTCCCTTGGTCCCCGTGGAGGATAGTCATTTGCCACTTCCTCACAAGCCTACGTCTGGTGACTAACCACAGCAACATTCCATCTTTTATCTTTACATGATCTGTTTTTTTTTCCGGCCTTCCCCACCCAAAATAAAAACCGCCTTAAATAGTGACAGTGATTCACTGACACCTTGGTCACTCCTTTTCCTTGGAAACAGAATATTCTCCCCCATCCCACCCTCAAGTCTGGGAAGAAAAAAAGACAAAAACTTAATGATTTACCAGGAGGAGCCTCCTGGGAGGGGCCAGGGATTAAGAGTGAGGTTTTTGTGGTCTGGCTACACACACACACACACACACACAACTTCTTGCAAACTGCAACGAGTTGCGTACGGGATGGTGGTGGTGGTGGGGAAATTGTTGCACTACATTCTCCGATTGGCAAAGAAAAGGGGAAAGGCAGTCCTTGCCAAACCGTCCATTGGATTTTCTGTTTTGTTCCCCACCCCACCCACCCCGCTCCCAATGGGTTGATTTCAAATCTTCAGCCAGAACATGTGGGGCAGAGATGAAAGGGGGGAAAAAAGACGGTGCAAAGAAAGAGTGCTAGGCCCACCAACTTTGGAAAAAGGCAACAATCCAGGTTTGCATTTTCCAGAAAAAAATGATTGGGAGAGAGAGAGAGGGAAGGGTGTGTGTCTCCTTGTCTTGGCCTTCCAGTCCCCGAAGGGAAAAAAAAAACGGGTTGCAATCCTCGTTTTACAGCAAATATTGCTAAAAGTTGGAGGAAGAAAGGGAGGGAGGCATACAGAGACGGGGGGGGCGGAGAGGAAGGAGAGAAAGAAGGAAGGGGAGAGAGGTAGGAAGGAGGGAGACAGGAGCGGGGAGAGGAAGGAAGGAAAGAGAGGCAGGGAAGAAGAAATAGGAAGGAGGGAAAGGGAGCGGGAGGGAGGAACATAGAAAGAAGAGAGGAAGGGAAGGAGGAAGGAAAAAGATCGGAGTGGGGAGATAGGAAAGAAAGGGAAGAAAGAAGAGAAGGGAAAAAGAAAAGAGGGAGGAGGGACGAACTAAGGAAGAGGAGAGGAAGAGGAGGAAAGAAAAAATGGGGAAGTGGAGACATAGGAATGAAAGGGAGGGAAGAAGAGAAGGGATGAAGAAAGGAAAGGGAGAGAGAAGAAGAAAGGGGGAAGGAAAAACACAGACAGGGGAGGGACTGGAGGAGAAGGAAGTAAAGAGGGAGGAAAAGAAGGATTAAAAAGCCAGGGGGAGGAAGGGAAGGAAACAATAGCCCTCTTCCATTTAACGCCTTCTAAACTGGGACACTGGACTTCAGATAGTGGCAGTGGGCAGCTTCCCAATCGATCTACCCAATGGATGGGTGGCGGGAGGATAGGATCCTGACCTAGAGCTCCTCAAACCCCGCCCCAACCACACCCCCAAAATCTCCCTGCCCCTCTGCCCAGCCAATTCTTGTGTCTGCCCCGCCCCCCCTCCCGCCTCGTGCCATTATCGTAGCGAGATGCTCCAGTCTTCTCCGACGTTCACGGCGGGCTTGCGGATGGTTAGAACGGAGGACTCGGCTTCGTGGGTGAAATCCAGGCGGGTCTCGCCAGCTCCTGGATAAGTTGGAGGTGGGAGGGGGAGGAGGGGGAGAAGAGAGAGAGAGAGAGAATAAGAGTTGGAAGGGACCTTGGAGATCTTCTAGTCCAACCCTCTGCTTAGGCAGGAAATCCTACACCACTTCAGACAAATGGTTATCCAACATCTTCTTAAAACCTTCCAGTGTTGGGGCACTCACAACTTCTGGAGGCAACTTCTGTTCCACTGATTAATTGTTCTAACTGTCAGGAAATTTCTCCTTAGTTCTAAGTTGCTTCTCTCCTTGAT